CGTCAGCCTCTGCACTGGGCTTGACAGCCCCTGGCACCCCCTCAGAGGCTGCCCGTGGAGCTGCAGTCATCTTGAGATGCCAGAGGAGTAGGAAGCCAGGCAGGAGGAACCCTCCCAGCTGCCCGCGGGGACAAGCACTGTGGCCCGAGGAGAAGCCCAGGGCTCTGTCCATATGCAGAAATGGCTTTGGGAAGTGTTTTGATGTAGCTAAGCAAAGTGACACAGCTGATAAAAGTCCATTGCCCCAAATCAGAAAACAGGTAATTTGAGAAAGGACGCTCCAGATTTAACCCTCTGTAGTCTCCTTACCTAGGCTTAATCACCATTAGGTTTCCGTATATATTTGGCCAAGTAATTTTTGTGCATATCAGCGCGCACTTTTTGAAACAAATCAAACCGTGCACATGTGTTTGTAACCTGCCCTTTGCAGGTGACTGGACAGCCCCCTGTGAGGGCGCACGGGCTTGTGTCCGGCTCTGCCGCTAACCTATTAGCTGCGTCGCACCTACGGGTCACATCACCTCCCAGTGCCTCAGTGTCTTCATCAGTGACCTGGAAATAATGATGCCCCTCTCACGGGGGTGGTGAGGGTCTCGTGGGCGGTGGCGTGAAGCCGCTTTGCAAAATGTGCTCCAGCGGGAGGGGCTCCGCGTCTTCAGGTCCTGGGTGTCGGGCAGCCCAGCGGCTCTTTCTGACACAAGCCTTTGGCTTCTTTACTTTCCAGGATCGAGAAGGGGGACAGGGGCGAGGAGGAGGACCTTCGCTTGGACTGCCGCCACGAGAGATACCCAGCCCGTAAGTGGCCTCAGCTGCAGGAGCCGGCGCGCAGATTCTGGGCCGTGTGCGGAGAGGGAACCCTGGAGAGGAGCCCGGCGGACCTCCCCTGAGCCCTGACGCAGCAGCCTCTGCCGGCGGGGGACGGGGGACCGGGGTGCTCAAAGACAGGCAGGGGAGCCGCGCCTTGAGTCCAGGCCTGGGCCAGCCATTGGCCTAAAGAGAGAACAGCAGCTGTGTCGAGCCAGCCGAGTCAGGGAGGTGACAGTGGGGAGGGAGAGGAGCGTGGAGGAGGCCTGCTTGGGGAGGAGGGGAGGGCCCTGTCTTCTCTCTGAAGAAAGAAACTCCTGCAGGAGCCACCAGCCCAGGAAGATGACCTGCCCCGGGGGTGGCTCTTAGGTGGACACTGGGCTCACATCCCATGCTTTCTTGACCGGTATCTGTGCTAGGGCGGAGGGCTTCCTGGAGGAAGGGGTCAAGAACCAGGGCATGGGGGCAGCTGGGGAGCACCAGCCTCAAAGAAAACAGAGGGGAACAGAAACCTACCAGAGGGGCCCAGGAAGCGTATGGTAGGGACAAAGGCTGAGAGCCCCTGGCTCATGGTAGAGTGCCACTGGCTGCCCTGCTTGGGCTGAGCCTCCCCAGGCTCCCTGCAGAGTGGGCAGGACACCCTGGGTGGAAAGAAGTTGGGGCCTTGTTTGGGGGTAGCAGGGGAGCTGGGAGGAGGAAAGGCCAAAAGGGGAGCCAGTGTGGCCCTAACAGGAAGCCCTGGAGTTAAGAATGAGAAGACCCAAGGTCAGGGGCCTGCACAAGGCCCCCACCCCAGCCTAGGCCCCACAGCCTCTGCCCCACCTGGTGCCCGCTCCACCTCCTGAGCAGGGGGGAGGCCTTGGGTGTGTTTGCTGGGCCTGCAGCCCGCGCAGGACTCCGTCTCGCGCTCCCCTGACAAATAGTCATTGAGTGTCTGCTCCCGCTGGCCCCACGCTGGGTGCTGGACGCGGGGCCACGAGCAAGGGCGGACTAGGCCCTGCCTCATGGGACAAGCAGCCGAGGGGAGAGAGAGCCGGGTAAGGTGTGAGCCCAGAAACAAACGGGACCGTCTCAGGCGCCAGGGAGGGAACCTGCGATGATAAGGCGGCGACGGGAGGCTCCTTTAGAGCCACGTCTCCGAGGAGCTGGGACCAAGAGGATGAGAGGGAGTCGGAGACACAAGGAGCCCTCCAGGCGGGGGGCCTGGGGTGCCCAGCCCTGGAGCAGGACAGCCAGACGGAGCTGCGTGGTGGGGGGCAGGGGGTGGGAGCAGGTGGGGCTGGAGATGAACAAAGATAAGAGTGGGTGGGCTCAAGAGCTCTTCTCTGGAAGAACTGTCAGCGTTAGTTTGGGTTCCCCCAGAAGCCGGTCCTGAGATAAGGATTTGACAGCAAGTAGCTTATTTGGTGACCTCAGAAAGTCCAGGTAGGAGCAGGTGAGGGGGCTGAGCTGGGAAAGGCAGGTGGCGTGAAAGGCCAGCGGGTCAGCACCCGTCCCTGTGAGGGGCTTGGGTGCCAGTGCAGAGCACACGGGTCTGAGTCACCCCCCCCCCC